TTACTGACGGAAAAACTTAGTTTCCTTATTTTTCCCTCCTATGGTTAAGCCTTTCTGATGAAATCCAGACTTCCATCTGGCATGGACTAGTGTAGCTCCATAAAAGTCAGTGTTGATTTATGCCAGAGAGAGGAGCGTCGCTCACAAAATGACTGGGAGTTCTTATACTCTTGAGTCGCTTTTGTGTGTTTTGGTAAAGTCTGTTCAGATTTTCTGTTGTTGATGCTTTATGCAACAGAAATAATACAAAGAATTAATTTGTCCCTCGTTGTCCTCATCTCCTCATGGGATAAGTACCACCATGCTGTCCCATGCATGTGTGAGCCTTGGCTGAAGGTGAGTATGGTGGTTTCTTGACTAACTTGGAAGAATTAACTTCTGCAACTGGCACAACTTGCAGTTGTTTTTCTTCGTGATTTAAACACACATTTCTCTGTCCCATTTTACCCTTCTGAAACCGGAGAGAGTGTAAGTGCCACCATCAGTGCAAGAGAGCAATTTTATAAGTTCAGGGTTTTTTTGCAGATAAAAGGTGTTCAAAATTTAATTTCGTGAAAAACCTTTAAATTTCAGTGATTAAGCTACTTTGGCAAAACATGATTGATTACCCTAGAAATAAGAGTATCATATTAAAGCAATTTGATTAAATGCTACCTAGCATACTCTATCTTTTGTTATTCAAGGGGACTCATATTTGATTAGAAATCTTCATGTTTAAGTCTGCTTTGCTGTTACTAAAAAAATGCTTTTTTTCTTCTCCCTTCTCATTTTCACTTATTTTGAAAGTGAAATGTGGTCCAAACTTTCTTTTTTTTTGATAGGATATTTCCAATGTTTTCCTCATATTATTGAATGTTTCCTTGAAAATTTTTTATTTCTTAAAATTTGATTTTTTCATTGTTTTGTTACATTACAAAATGCACAGTTGCACTGTAGGTTGCCCTTTACCTTTTTTTTTTATCTACTCTACAGTTCAGAATTGTGTAAGTATGCTGTACCAGCGTGTTGAAAGACTTAGCTAATACAATAAGAAGTGTAATGTTATTATTGTGAGAGAAAAAGTAGAACTTCAATACAACATTAATTCTATTAATATTTTACTTACATCTGTCAGCAGAAGTGAGTTTACCTTCTAAAAATTGTATCAGAACTGCGAGGTTTATGTATGTATGTGAGTAAATTTTTTTAATTAACTGGTGAATCATTAAAACTGAATTAATATCTAGACACACTTAATGCTAACTGTTACAGAAATTCAGTAATTATCACTAGAAAAATCAGTCACATTTTGAAGATAAATAATAAATAGAAATAACATTTCTCCCTTTGATTAAAACTCAATGAAGCATCTTAATATAGCCTCTTGCACTTTATTTTACACTTTAGCAAATGACTTTAAGAAGAATAATCAAAGTTTATGTGCTTGCAGTAATGGCAGCATCCTTCTTTTCTATGTAATGGAACACTGGAGCATCAAATACTTGTGATCTTGCTTTCTGCATGAGGCTCCTATGATATCATTAGAAGCATTCAACCTAGAATGAAAGTAAGATTTGCAAAAAAGATTTACAACTTGTAAATGATATTTTTTTCCCTTAAGTGGCTTAACCTTCAGGTAACCCAGTAATTCATGGATGTCACTTCTGAGTTGGCTTTATTCCAAAGGGGAAAGGAAAATATAACTACTGCAGCACTGTCTATCAATCAGACATGAATCCCTCTAATATACTGCAGATTAGACTACAAGCCCTTTCTCTAGGCAATTAATTTGTGTGCAAGTCTAGATGAAATTCAGCTTTAGAAAGGTTTTAAGAATAGAAGTCATTAGCAGTGATATGGAATATTTTTCTTAATATTTAGGTCCCATGCGGAAAACCTCCCCTCATTCTAGTTAATTGTTTTCATTTGTGTGAAGTATTTGGGTGTCTTTTAAAACAAGGAAATGTATACAGAACTTGGTAAAGCTAGTTATAGCCAGGTAAATGAATAATGTGAAATCCAATTTCAGGATGAATTATATTAAAGACCCATGTGTTAGAAATGCAACACAGTACTGCTTGGCTTGGAAATTCTGTATTCTTTAAATTCAGAATTCTAGAGTTCAGCAAGAGAAAATAAAAAAGTAAAATCTCTACTGACCGACATAAAAATGTGCAGTGTGCATTCTCCGTAGATCCTACTGCTCCCAGCAGTTTCATGCCCCACCTGTCATGATTTTACCTGAAGATGTTTATTACACAGTGTATGTGGAATATATGTTTGAAAAGACCAAGGTAGGGTAGACTTGAAGAAATGAGAAACACAATGGCTTATGGATTTTGGACACTTTAAGGGATGGTTGCAGAGAAGGAAAGACTTCCCTTGCGATCTATTAATTTTTTTCCTAAAGCTCACTGCCCGAGGCATAATTTAAAATATTTTACTGACAGTAGATCTGGGTAGGATTTTTTTTTCCTCCCAGCTGAAATACATGTGGCTGTAATTAGACTGGTGATGCAGTAATGGTTGGCAGCTGTCTGCAAAGCTTCTGCAAGGTCTTTTAGTGATGCTCTCTCACAATTGAAATATTTTTATCACTTTGCTTAGAAAAGTAGAATACAAGAGCAATGGACTTCACTGAGTACTGAGTTAATAATTTTATATCCTCTATCTGTTCTGACATGGTGCTATTTCCACTAGGCTGAGTAAGAGAATACGAACGTTAAAATTACCTCTGAGTGGTAAATACTGTGGAGGAAGAGGAACTACTTATCCTAAGGGGTAATTCTGGCTGAAAGGTTTCTGTTAGCTATCTCTGATGAAAATGAAAGGAAAAATTGATTTATCTACCACATGCTGATTCATCAAAGATTTATGTGTTTATTTGCTGCCTTTAAAAATCATTGTTCGTTGCTAGAACTTGACTGTAGGGGCCTTTGGTCTGCTGCCATGTCACCTTGCACAAACTCAGCATATTGACCTAAATTTGAAGTCAGAAATGTTTAACCTGTACAGTTAGGTAATCAGAGTGGTGGTTTTGTTTCTGTTCAGGTTTCTGTCTTTGTTTTGCATTTTGGGGTATGTTTTGTTTTCTAGAGACAGCGGAGATGTTAAATATGAGGGTTTGTTTTGATTGGTTTTTTCCCCCAGTATTGTGGGGGCCTCAAACAGCACTGTTATCCTTGGTATCTCCTGCTTGACTGCCTGTTGTGTATTATCTACAAGTTCTAGGTTTTGGCCTTTCCTTGTGGGTCCTGTATTTCTTGTGGTATGTTAAAAACCTGTTCGATAAGCCAGAATGAGCAGAGAGTGAGTAAACACCTGTCTTGGAAGCTTTGTAACTAGAAAAGACAGTTATATTTAGAAAATCAAGACAGAAAACTTGCTGATAAAATAATATATTAGTCATCAAGATTTTCCAAAGATTTTTGTTTTAATTCCCACCTGTAACTAAACCACAATGTAAATTAAATGGTGTACACTGCATTGCAGTCACAGCAATATCTGTATTCTTTCATTCAGAGGCAAATAACTAGAACTTTAATGTTTCAAAATGAAAAAACATATACCTTTGTGTAAGAGATGCACCTGAAGCAAATGGGTTGACAACAGAAAAGGTGTTGAATACAGGAAAGGCCAGAGAGCTCTTATAAAGGAAGGAAACCTAAAGAATTATACAAGTTGGATCTTGAATCAGGGGTGGAGAGAAACCCACCCAGAAAACAACAAACCTGCAAAGAACAACTGAAATGAGAATCTAAGTAAAATGTACTCTAAAAATCACTTTAAAATCAAGAGCAGCTACATGCGAAGTAATGAATGTGATCAACATTACAGTTTTTGGCTTGCTCACAGTTTGCTCTAGATCCTAGAACAGCAATTTTGGTAGCACCAGGCTGCAGTACCAGAACAGGGCTGTTGCTGATGCTGCTGTGTAGCTTGCTTTTATGATTCGTGCAACATCTGAGCTTTGCAAACACTCCTGTCCAAGCTTTGGGAAAGCACAGATTTCTAGGGGTTTGGTGGAACTTTGCCTTCTGTTTTTCGCATTCTACTTGAACCACGCTTTTAAATCACATCCTCAAAGTGGTTCAGAGTTCTCTTGCAGTGCTTAGGAACACTGGTGACTGTTTCATTGAGTCTCTTTAAGAATCTCTTCCGTGCATATTTTTATACCATGTTGTAAGTACACTGTATTCTGCCTTGGCTGTTTAATGGCTTCATAAGGAATTATTTTGCCACCTTCTAAAAAGATAAGTAGGAGTGATGGAAGTTTTTATGTAAACATTTTCATTTTGGGGATGAATATTCTTTGAAACCAGCTTTCTGTGACAACATGTCAGTTTTGAGTGATAAAATTTTATGATACATTTTTCATATTAAACTGAAAGATGCTGACTACTCCCCTTTTCTTAGAAAAACAGATAGAGTGGACTTGGCATAAAGCTAGATTGGCAGAGACTCAAGTCCAATTATCCATGTCTGACTATCTGCCTCAGGTTTTTCAACTCCTAGACAAATATTTTAGTCATTTGCTGTTCTGGAATAGTGTGGTCCTTTTGCTTTGTTTCAATTTTCTTCTAAAAATATGTTCTTTTCCTGATGCATTGAGAGGAATAAATAGAGGGAACAACAGTAACTGATATAGGGTGGAAAACATGCTTATCTGTACTTCTGTATATAAGTGTAGTAATATATACAAACACCTGTAGTAAGTGGAAAAATATCTCCTTTCGTTTTCACACAGCTTTTAGCTTTTTATTGGGGAATGAAATGAAAAAGGGAGAATGGAGAAGGAGCAATAAAAGTAACACAAAGCTAAAACCTAGAAGAGTTCATCTTCTGTAAGCCTCGAAGAGTTTCAAACAAAATTTATTTGGTAGCATTAGTGCACTTTTAAATTATAAAATGGAAGAAAAATATTTCTAAAAGGAACTGTGCTTCCTTTCGTCTGAATAGATTAGGGTGGTGTGGTTTGTTGCACTGCGTTGCAATATGAATTTTTCTTTTTTTTAATTTAGGGTTCTCCATATTGTCCCCTCACAAGAAGGAGCCCCCCTTACAAGAAGGACTACCGAGATACTGGACCACATATGGGGCAATGAAGCTGGTGAAGGATCTGGAGCACAAGTCTTCTGAGGAATGGCTGAGGGAGCTGGGGGTGTTTAACCTGGAGAAAAGAAGCTCATGGGGGACCTTACTGCTCTCTACAGCTACCTGAAAGGAGGTTGTGTTGAGGTGAGGGTCAGCCTCTTCTCTCAGGTAACATTCTACAGGATGAGAGGAAATGGGCTCAAGTTGCACCATGGGAGGTTTAGATTGCATACCAGGAAAAATTTCTTCACCAAAAGGGTTGTCAGACTTTGGAACAGGTTGCCAGGGAAGTGGTGCAGTCACCATCCCTGGTAAAAAGATGTGCAGGTGAGGCACTTGGGGACATAGTTTAGGGGTGGACTTGGCAGTGTTGGGTTAACGGTTGTACTTGATCATCTTAGAGGCCTTTTCCAACCTAAACAATTCTATGATTCTGTATTACTTAGGGTACATATCAATGCATCTGAAGCACATTGAATTTTCCTTTTTAAAGACTGACTTGACTGCTATAGGCAATGTGTAGATATAGCTAAAGGTACATTTCATTCAGTCGCAAAATGCTTTAAAAAAAAATGAGATTATTGTTCTCTGTGGTAGCATACAGGCACCATGAGTCTAAGCAGACACACAGTGTCAGTTTTGATTTTGCTACTCTTCATTATTTCTCAGTATTAAAGTCAAGCTCTTATTGCTGATGAAAGTGAGTATCAAGTAGTGAAATGTCAAGTTTCTAAACTCCTACCTCACGATGAAGTTTCCTCCCTTTTTGTCTGTCTTGAAGAAAAGAGAGTAAGTGGGTAGAAGGCTGTTGTGCTGTCACTTACAAGAGGAGGCTGAGCTCCATGCAGGGTTTCTGCTAGTTTGCTGCTATTAGGAAGCTTTTGCTAGTCAGGAGGGGAGGTAGGCTTGACATCAGGAGAACAGACACTTTAAAAAATGAAAGATTAATAAAACTTTGTAAGATACTTGGATGTCTGATTCTTTACAGGGCAAGATAAGCAGCCAGCACCTGATAGAAAAACCTGTAAGAATATTTAGGGCAGTAAAGGTGTTAAAAGTAAACAGTGCTGCTACTTGTTAGGTTACTGTCAGGCCTCTGTGGAATATCTTGCTTCCTAATTGCCGTCAGATTTTTTATTTTCTCTAGCCACATGCTGTTATAAAGAATCTCACAGTAAATTTGTGGGACCCTTGTTAACGTGTTATACACCAAAGGATGTACTTGGCTGAAATGAAGATCGTGTTTGCTGGATAGTGAAACTTGGCCTTCTGTTGTGATTATATTTGTGTTTCCTGGGAAGAAGAGTAAGGATTCTTTTCTCTAGTAGAGAAGCTTCTAAATAATCAGAACTATATACTTTAAATGTGAACCACCCTGTCTTGATAAAGACCTTGGGGCATTGTAATCATTGCATTCTGATTCTATGTCCTGCTACTACTAGTCAGCTTGGACTACGGTGTAGGTGAAATTTGTTGGCTTAAGTCATCAGTTTCCAGTATTAGAAGAGCAAGTCCTATATATTTAATATATCAAAGGTTAGTAATGAAAGACATTTACAGATGAATGATATTTTGCCCATTTGTCAATGTCAGACTGATGCGTCTTTCCGAAACAAATGCCTTTCACGTACTGGAAAAAAATTACATTTGCTCTTACATGGTGGTGGTTTCTGGAAAAAAAGTGCAAGTTTTATATAGAGGTGTAAGCTTAGAAAATAATGTTGTTAAATGTTTATGTAATTGTTTAATATTGCAGATTTTTTAGCCTGAGTCATCCGTGCCTACAACAATGCTTAAACAAACTCCACAAGTGCCCGCCCCACCTCCAAGTTCCCAACTATGCAGTTGGTTGAATATAAATAGTAGGGGTAGAGGGAAGTAAGTGAATAATCTCACTTTCCATGTGAATTCAAATAAAAGAGCAAGCACATAGGCACACTCTTCTTATGGCTTTGTTTACTTAGAAACTTTAGGCCACAGGGGTTTTTTGCATGGTTAGCTGGTTCATTTTCATTTTTCTTCCTTTCCTAAGCATGTGCACTTTCTGTACTCTAGCAATGGATGCTGAATTTTAGATACTTTGCTGCTGCTGTCTGTCTGAAGTCTGTTATGACCAGAGTCTGAATAATCAATGAATGAATTTGATAAATTCTTGTGTATATAATGAAGCAGTAGATATTAATCAGAAAATAATTTCTTATGAGTAAGATAATATTAGTTAGTATTCTGTCAATCATTTCACATTCCATGTTTAACTAGAACTTCATATTGAAAGAGAGAACAACCATCTTAAGAGCAGATTTATTTGTTATAAAAATCACAAAATAAGAGATTTAAACATTAGGAAGGTATTGTGAATCTCTTTCATGAAAGCTAATAATATGATTATATGTAACTAATAAAGAACTTTCCATAACCTCTCAACAATTTCATTTATATTTAAGTGGGAACAATCTGCAAGTCTGATCAAATTGGCTCCTCCTCTGTTAGTCTGTATTAGAACATAATTCCTTTCAGTGTAATATCCTGTCCACATTTAACTCTCCTCCTAGTTCTTCCTTGTTTATAACCTGTATTTTGTTTTCCATTCAAAATTCTCTGTTTCAATCTGACTCTGTGCAAGACAGACAGATTTAGCACTTTTGAAGATACTTGATAGTGTTGATTTTTGCTCTCAATGACAGATTGTCTTTTCAGTAAGCTATGAATGCAGTATCCACATTGTATTTTTGAGACAAGTGTTTTAAGTACAACTTTTCTCATGAGACTTATCACCATAATAGACAGAAATTATCTAAAAGAACTCTGTTACTAAGAAAGTAAGTTATAAAAGTCAGGTAGGTACTGTTTCAAGACACTGAGATAATATGCAAGCAAATAATTTCTTATATCAAATGTTAATTGAGTGCCTCTGCTAATATCTTTAAAATGTACTACAGCTGTGTGCTATAAGCATATATATATATATATATATATATATATATACTGTGTCACTATAAATGTGATATACTTTACTAAAATCAGTACATTGCTATATATAACTTTAAAGTTACCTTGAAATCACAGTACTCAGGAGTTGGTACTGATGGAGCTCTGGAACTGTATTTGAAAGCTGAAGTTACCAAAAGAAATAAGAAAGGAGAAACAGATTACTGGATAAGTACTGTATTCAGGAAGAAGAGTTTTTCAGAAAAGTGTGTTCCTTTTCCTCCAGCAGAATATAGATGAGATAGATTATGATCATGAGGGGATGAAACGACCCATCCACAGTGGGATCAACCCTTCCTTTGCCACTAATAAGTCAATTCCACTAGACGTAGGAAAATAATAAGCAGGCTGAGCTGGAAGAGATCCTTACATTAGAAACACTAATTTGTAGCTATCATTTAACATATAGTAGATGAAGGACTTTCATTACCTCTAGATGTTTATTAATATTATATCTAGTTAGACCTGAAGCAATACCATGGCATAGAGAGTCCAACTTCTCCTGTGCAGAGTTAGAGTATTAAATTATTAAGATAGGAAGAAAATATAAGAAAGAATACTTCTATCATAGTTTACTTTGAGTTGCTAAGTTGCTTGAGCAAATCCCAGATGATGATTGGAAGATAATCTAAAAAAGGGCAGGCTAAAATACTTTGGCTATTCAGAAGTTTTCTTGCAATCGAGGTTATTTTTCTTGTAGCATGTCATTTGTAAGAGTTTATATTTCTTAACCAATTGTCAAAAATTTATCCATTTATATAGTTGGTAAATATATTCCATGGAGCATCAATGACTACTGTCCCCCTAGACCAGACTAGGAAGACAGCTCAGAACATACCTACTTTCTCATGTTTCACTACAGCAAAAATGTTCAACTTTATGTTGTTTCTTAATTCCACACACCCACCCTGCCATCAAACTTCTCTTTGAGTATTGATTCTAGTTTTGTTTTGCAGGTACTCTCACATTCTGAATGTTTTATATACATGTATATATTTAAAGTCTATTAAAGAGTGTATGTTCCGGGTGGTGCTAAAGGAGCTCTGACCTTTTGCAGTTTCTCTATGTGCTGAAGCTTGAACGCTGGAAATGTCATTTGTGATACAGACTTCTGTGGATTAAAATTATCTATAATGAGATTCAGTTTCTTGTAGAAAGGTACTCTTACCTAAAAATCCTTGCCTCTGTCTTTGTAAGGAAATCTGATATTATATGATTAGTTGTATGAAAACATGTAGTTAGACCAACTGATATGGCATAGCTGAGGTGCTGAGACACTAACACCAGGGAGTCTTCAGCTTTTCTAGCCAAGATATAGACGTAATTTTATGATTACTCTTATCTGATTCTGGAAATGTTCAGTAGAAAACAGTGCTGCAATGGGCTGCAAACATAAATGTACCTCAGTCTAGAGGTAGTGTAGAAGATGGTAAGAACAACAAAAAGGAGGGAGAGTGCAGCAGAAGAGAGAAAAATATTGGATGATCTCCCACCTATGATGAGTTGTAATTATCATTTCTGTCAGAGCAAGCAAACAGAGGCAGACAAAGCTCCAGAGATTTGGAGCAGTTCTCAAAGTTCTCAAAGAAAGCTTCAGAGAAGTTTTCACCTTCTGTTGCATTTGACAGAGGGAGCTGATTAGCAGTCCACCTCCCTAAACCACATTTACAACTGCTGTGAAAACTTGTCAATGAGACTCCACAAGCTGCAGAGTTGCACAGCATCTCAGGAGAGGGGAAGATAAAGGACCCATGTCAGAAGCTGCAGTGTGCATTGCATTGGCACTGATTTTCCACCTTTTCATCCTGGATCCACATGAGCCAAAATGATAATTTGGCTTTTGGCAAATGACACTTTCTCAGTGCGCCTCCAAAGTGTTTTAGTTTGGAGATGTGCCCTTTAATGACTTGAATGACAAATCCTTTGTCATCTCTTCAGGGAAAGTTATGTATGCCACTAACTTGCTCTTTTTTAGAGCCCTGCTGGGTGTTTTTTGGAATAGCCAGAGGAAAAAAGGGAAGGATAATAATCCTAGTAATTATTAACACAACTCTATTATTTGT